TCCGAACCCAGCGGGCGCCACTTTACCAGCCTCGCCCTCCTCGGTCCCGCGTGGTCCCCCGCACCCGGTCTCCCTGCGGCCATGAGCTCCCCCATCAGCAAGAGTCGCTCCCTGGTCGCCTTCCTACAGCAGCTGCGCAGCCTCGGGCAGCCCCCCAGACCCGTGACATCCACGGCGTGCGCGCCCCCTCGGCCGCGGGAGGTGCCCCTCTGCCCGCTGATGGAGCGTGGCGAGGCGCAGAACGCGGCCGCCCTTCCGGGCCCCACCAACTGGCCGCTGCTGGGCAGCCTGCTGGAGATTCTCTGGAAAGGGGGGCTCAAGAAACAGCACGACACTCTGGTAAATGCCTCGTCGGGCCCCAATTCCCTCTCCCATCCCGGGCGGGCGCTCCAAACCCTCCCAGAGGCGCGCGGCCCGAGCGCACGGTGCGCTCTGGTGTCTGGGCTTCCCCGGGAGGAGGAAGGCGGGAGCAGGGAGTCGCGCGCTCGGGACTGTCAGGGATGCGGGCTGACTTGGCGCTGTGCCCGGCCCGCTGCAGGCGGAGTTCCACAAGAAGTACGGCAAGATTTTCCGCATGAAGTTGGGCTCCTTTGACTCGGTGCACCTGGGCTCGCCTTGCCTGCTGGAAGCGCTGTACCGCACGGAGAGCGCGTACCCGCAGCGGCTGGAGATCAAACCCTGGAAGGCCTATCGCGACTACCGCCAGGAGGGCTACGGGCTGCTCATCCTGTGAGTCTGCGGGCGGGGAGGGAGGCAGGGTGAGGCCATGGGGCTGGCAACTACGCCTAATGCGCTTGGAAACTGGGAAGAGCTTGTTCCCGGGAGTCGGACCCGTCTTAGGCAGAGGACACCAAAGCCGCTACCCAGTAGTCGCGTCCTCCTGGTAGACCTGAGTGGGTTGAGGGACAGCTGTACCGCGCATCCGCTTAACACCTGTTCTCTCTGGCAACCGGGCAGGGCCAAAGCTTTCCGTCAGACAAATGCCAAAAGGCGTTATACAAATTGTGGCGGGACTGGGTTTTGAAGTCAGCGTGCCAAGCAAATGTGTTATACAAACTACACTATCCCTTGAAGTTCTCTGTAACCCCCTCTGGGAAGCTCACATGCCAGAAATTAACTTCCTCCGCTTTTGACCGTGACCTTTTTCCCGGAGGGGAGTGGAGGTGATGACCTAGGTGTAGGTGAAAGGTGGGGTGAGCAGGGGTGTCAAGGTTGCATTTTCGATAGATAAAATGCTATGATGTGATGTGATTCCTTTGCTTTTTCATTGTCACCATCTAACAAGTTAGCACTTCTTTGTCCCCAAATTTAATGTCTAATAGTTATATTTTGGGGAGACAATCACTGGAATTAAAAAGCATAGTGAGCCCTAACCGGTTTAGCTCAGTGGATAGAGCGCCGGCCTGCAGACTGAAGGGTCCCAGGTTTGATTCCGGTCAAGGGCATGTACCTTGGTTGCCGGCACATACCCAGTAGGAAGTGTGCAGGAGGCAGCTGAATCGATGTTTCTCTCTCATCGATGTTTCTAACTCTCTATCCCTCTTCCCTTCCTTTCTGTAAAAAAAAAAAAATCAATAAAAATATACTAAAAAAAAAAAAAAAAAAAGCATAGTGACGCTCGGTGCACCACAGGCTGTGTCACCAGCTGTGGGCAAGTGCGAAAGGGCGCCTGATGGAACAGGCTTTTTCCAAAGCTGCGGCTCTCTGGCTGTCTGGTATTATGTGCAGGCAATGGCAAGATTCTAAGTCTGAGGTGTTATGTAAGTGTGACTTGCAACCCAAGTCAATGGGTTGAAAGAAGACAAGATCTTTCCTCAAACAGACCTGGGTTTCAGGGTGGGGGGGGGTCCTTCAGGTGCCCACTCTCAGTGCTGGGAATTGAGGTGCCTGGCCTCCCAGCTCAAACCCAGTAAGGACACCTCCACAGCCCTGACCCCAAATTATCTGGACGTCACCTTTCTGGTGCTTTCCTTGGCCGGGAGGAAAGGTGCTTTCTCATTCTATCATACACCAGCCCCAGTATTCCAGTGCGAACAGAACCCGGGCACTTCCTGGCTGGTGCTCAGTGTTGATCTGATGACACAGTCATGCAGTGGCAGAGTTGGGGTGGGCGGGATCTCTGCCTCTTCTTTCTGGTCTTTGCAACTTGCTCTAAACAGATTTCTCTCCCAGGGAAGGAGAAGACTGGCAGAGGGTCCGGAGTGCCTTTCAGAAGAAACTAATGAGACCAGTGGAGATTATGAAGCTGGACAGCAAAATCAATGAGGTTTGCAGGCTGGGGCCAGCTTTCCAGGGTCTCTTGGGGCGGGAGGGGTGTTTGTGGAGCTTTAAGTCACAGCTACAAAGGGCAGAGGGCAAAGCAGGCACTTGGGATGACTCGGGGGCTTCACGTTCTCCTCATTCCTCTTCCTGTCTTCCTCCCCCATAGCCTTTATTCCCCCTTTCTCTCCCCTTTCTTTAAAAGACCGCATTAAGGGAGTAGTTACAAGCACAGACTTTTGTATCCCACAGTCTTGGATTTGAGCATCAGCCGTCCATCCCATGTTAACTTCCCTGAGCCTCAGCTTCCCAATCTATAAAATGGGAGTGGCAATTCTCACTCCATAGGTTTGCTGTGATGACTGAAGGAGAGAATGCTTATGAAGTTCCTTGGTAGTGACATTTGAGCTGGGTTTTGCAGGATGAGTAGGAGTCTACAAGCCAGAGAAGGTGGAGAAAGGCATCCTGGCAGAAAGAATAGCCTGATGCAAATATGGAGCCAGGGCAGGGCATGGCATGGAGTGTTGAGAGAATAGTGCATTCAGCACGGGCCTTTTCTGAAATGATGCTGGACAGAAGGCAGGTCTGTGCCATGTTAAGGTGTTAGGACATATCATTTAGCCAACAGGGGCTGAAGAGGAAGGGATTTAAGTTTAATAATCTCTTATTCTTCCTGTTCACTCTGGGTGTTCATTTTGAACTGAACGTGGACCCACATAGATTGTGTGGGTGAAAGATGGCAGGTTCAGAAGCTTTCAGGGGCCACGTAATTAATATAAACGCATAGGGCAGGCCCTGTAGGGGTTTCAGCCAACAGAATATCGCGTGCCCTTCCTGGAGGTGACAGCTGTCCCAGTTCCAGCAAATGACTGCCCCATGGGAATGCTGACACGGTGTCGCCAGACCCTGTAATTACTTATTCTTATTATTGTTATTGACAAGTAGTGGAAAATCTATATCTTCATGCGAAATCTCTAAATTTTATGGTAACTAATTCGAGTACATTTGAATGCACCACGTGAGCAAACTAAACATCCTTGTCTCTATGGTGGGCTGGGTAGGCGCCTGGGCTTTGTTCCAGGCCCAGCACAGGCGCTTCTCAGCTCTGTGTCCAGGGGCTGGTGCCTTCGTCTCTCTATGCCTCAGTTTTCTCACCTGGGAAATGGGAGAAATGACAGGATGTTCTCCCTCACAAGATTGTAAGGATCAGCTAAGAAAACATCCCTTTGTACAGCGCGTGGTTCTATGGAAGCCTCGGGAAATGAGAGGCTTTAGTCATCCAAAGCCCTGATTTTGGAAACTGGCATCTAATAGCCTTACATAACTCGTCCAAGGTCACAGAGCCATTTAGCGAGGGAGCTGCATCCAGAATTGCAGATCTCCTGGCTCCAAGCTCAACACGCCTAACACAGTACCAATCAGTAAAGAGAGGTTTGCTTGCCCAGATATGGAAACGGCAAACCTCAGCGTAGTCATAGCATCACAGCCTTTGAGATGTTGTGCCAACAGCGACACTTGACTGATTTCCCCTTTGTGGTTTATTCCCCGTTCAGATTAGAAGAAATGTTTTCCTTTCTTTAAATTTAGATCAAAGGCTGAAACCTTAGCTTCAGGGTGGCCGCAGGAAACGCTGAGGAAATAACCCAGGACAAGGTTGCTAGGGTGTCAGGTGAGCTCCCCAGGAAAATATAGAATTAGTGCTGCTGCAGAGGGGGCAGCCATCTGGCCAGGGAATACACAAGGTAGCGAGACCTGAGGTTAGCTCGCTGCTCTACAGTTTTTGTTTTCCCTCAAAGACTAAAATGTGTTTTTGTGGTTTCTTTCTCTTAAGGTCTTGGCTGATTTTATGGGTAGACTAGATGAGCTCTGTGACGAGAGAGGCCACATTGGAGACTTGTACAGCGAGCTGAACAAATGGTCATTTGAAAGTAAGTGGTCTCCACGGTCTCAATCCTTTGACTTGCAAGTGATTCTGAGGATAAAACGTGGCTCCATGAACAAGCTGACAACTCTTTGGAATCGTGTGCTATTCTGAGTGGGAAAGGCCACAGCAGCCGTCTTAATGCTTTCCGCACTGCAGCTCTGCTCTGCACGCTGGGCTGTTTGTGTGGTCACTCGACAAACACTTACTGAACACCTGCTAGGTGCCAGGCACCGTGCTAGGGACTCAGCATTGAGTAAAACAGGCAGCATCCTTGCTCACATGGAGCTTGGGTTCTAGTAGGGGTGACAATTGACAAGTAAACACATTTCACTATAGACTCTGCCAAGGGGAAAGGGGCCCAGGAAAGAACATAGGTGCCTCGATGGGGCAACTCCGCTTTGGTAAGGAGACTCCTGAGCTGAGACCTAAAGAAGGGGAGGTGCAACTGCAAAGGTATCTGTGGGAAGACTGTCCCAGAGAGCGGAGACAGGCAGTGCAAATGCCCGGGGGCAGAAGCATGAACATGCCTTTGAGGAACTCCGAGATGCTGGTGTGAGCGGATTGCAGGGGGAGGAGGAGCTGAGAAAGACCAAGCCAGGGCCTATCGGTCCCGGCAAGGACTTTTAGTTTGAGTCCCATTGGGGTGCCATGGGTTTTTTTTTTTTAAAAAGGAATGCGATCTCTCTCTTCAAGGAAGGCTCTGAGACTGAGAAGCAGACCCCTGCAAAGATCAACCAACTCCGCACTACAGTACAGTCAAGGCAATTTCAATAGACTAAGCAGTTTCAGGGCTGCGGGTGAATGCAGAGGGAAGCAA